GATCTTCCGAGACTCCTGAAATTTGATCAGGTAAGTAAATTTTCAGTTTTTTGGTACTTTCTTAGATAGCAGATGAAATTGTTAAGAGACAGACGTGTGGGAGGTTTGTCTTACTCTAGGAGTAGATGGAAGGGTCTCATTGTCTTGGGAAACAGTGTGATTAGTGATGCAGTGAATGCACACAAGGTTTGTGGTGCTTTTATGAAACACTTAGATGGCAGGAGGTGAGATAGTGATAAAGAGTAAATATAAGGTTATTCATTAACTTCTTATCAAGAAAAGATTTGTGTCAATGAGTTGGAGGATGGGTGGGATGAATTTGAGAACACTTCCTGGAGGAAGTGGGCCTTCAGCCATGTTGATATGGTTTGGCAGATGGAATAGGGAAAGCTGCTCTGATTGTTTGGCAGGCTCAGCAATAGTTTAGAGGTAAAAGGGAAGTCCTGTAAGGGAATCGGGAAGCACAGAAGAGAAGTTTGGGACAAATAACACAGACTGTGGTTTAATGTGAACTGATTGAGGGGTTGGAGCTAGCTGAGTTATAGATGTTAAAATCTGTGGGGAAAGTATTGTTTTGGTAACATTTATATAAAACTTGATATTCTGGAACTTAGTTTTCTGTAAATTTGCCTCGGAACCTGGCACATGACTTGAATTTTTGTTTCAGCTTATGAGTACTGGATGCTAAAAGTGAATGCTTATTTGAATGTCTTTAAATCCTTCCATGAGCCTTTTGATCTGACATACTAAAAATTCAGGTGTTTTGCAGTAGAATGGTTTTTATAGTGAGCCTTTCTTGTCTGTCTTCCTTCACATTGAAGTTGGTTGGCTAATTTCTTTGCATGGCTTTATCTATTCTGCCTCCAAAGGGGTTATAGTTGGATTAAATTCTTCATCTTATGTACTTCTGGTAAAATATTTGAGTGAGGATAACTTTCAAAACAATCTGTAGCTCTTCACTGAATTTGACTCTTGGAATTAGCCAACATTTGTGTGGTATTTTTTTAAATCCTCACCTGATGATATTTTTTTCATTGATTTTTAGAGAGAGTGGGAGGAAGGGGAAGAGACAGAGAGAAAAACATCATTGTGAGAGAGACATATAGATTGCCTCCCTCATGTGCCCCAATTAGGGCCAGGATCGAGCCTGTAACTAAGGTATGTGCCCTGGACCAGAATAGAACCTGGCGACTCTTCATTTTGTGGGCCGACATTCTAACCACTGAGCAACTGGCAAGAGCTGTGTGCTGTTTTTTTTAGAGAGGGAGAGAGAGATATAGCAACAGCAATGATGGGAGAGAATAATTGATCGGCTGCCTCCTGCACACCCCACACTGGGGATCAAGCCTGAAACCTGGGCAAGTGCCCTGACCAGGAATTGAACCGTGGCTTCTTGGTTCATAGGTCGATGTTCAACCACTGAGCCATACCAGCTGGGCATGTGTGCTTTTTTTAAAAGTAAAATTGTGCTATGGTTCTTGTCCAACTTCAGGGTATTTAGGAATATTCATATTTAATTTTTCCATTTTACCTAACCATTATTACCAATAAATAATCATAAGTGTGCTCATAATGAGCATCCTATCTGTTGATGAGTTTGCGTGCTATGGGAATTACATGATTCAATTCATAAGGTACAGAAATTTTATTTATATACTTTGACAGTTGCAAAGGTTGTGGAACTAAGTACTTAGAAATGGCCAGTCTACCAGATTATCACTTATTAAGACTAGAGGCCCGGTGCACAAAAGTTGTGCACAGGTGCAGTCCCTAGGCCTGGCTAGCGATTGAAGCATGAGTGTCTGGCATGGAAGGGCAGTTCCCAGCTGACCTCGGGGCCCTGGGCAGCACCTGGGCCCTCAGACCCCCGCGTGACCCCTCCACCTGAGTCATGGCGCCTGAGTCCACACAGAGATGTGGTGAGCATGGCTGGATGCTGTGGACTGGGGCGCAGTGTGGGCCTCTGGGCCATCTAGCGGCGCAGCACGGAAGCACAGCAGGCAGCGCACTCTCTCCTGGCTGGCCTCACAGACTGGCTCCTGCACAAACCCACAGGGAGCCTGACTGGCCCCTGCGGTCCTGGCAGCTGCAGCCCAGCTCCTCTGGAAGATGCTGTGGCACCTAAGTGTGGGGGCTTCCCTGACACACAAGCCTTGGCATCCCAGGGGAGGGTAGCAGGGGAAGTGAGAATGAGCTCAGCGGACACCCCGCATTCTTACCACACCTCTGTCCCTGTCACCCCCGCCCCCAGGTAGCCAGCAAGAGGTCACAGCGCGTCACCGCCGATGCCTGCCATGTTTTGTGCCCCCTCTTCCCCCGGGTGGTCACTGCACGGCATAGGGAGCGGTCGAACTCCTGATCGAGGGGACAATTTGCATATTAGGCTTTTATTACATAGGACGATGTGACCCTGCTTATGTGATGCTTCTTTCTATTTGTAGCTAAATATTCAGCGCACACAGAAAAAGGCTTTTGCTGACTTCACTGAAGGGGAAATCAGGTTTATCCCCACTTATAAGTATGACTCCAAAACAGACCGATGGGATTCCAGGTAAAGTAGCAAAAGCCTCCTCGAGGAATAGGTTAAGGCCTGATCTTATTTCTGCCCCTCCGTGGTGGTGAAGGGGTAGGAAATTTTTAGGTAATGCCACAGAAGCAGATATAAAACACCTATTGGTTCAGTGCTATTATAGAAGAGTTTTTAATTCACGTGAACTCAAAGATGAGCATATTTTTAAAAAGTGTAACTTCTATATCAGGGCTGTTGCAGTATTATGGGCTATCTGCAGTACCACATTTTTTTCACCCTGGCAGACTTGCTTAGATTTTGACCTTCCTGATCTCACCCTTTTCCTTACCTTTTGCCCTTTTCCAAACTGTTTCTTAACTATTTGACCCAAGACACCAGAAAATGAAAACAAAGAGCCATGGAAGTTCTTACAGCACAGTGGTTCTCAATCCTGAGTACACTTTAGAGTCTCTTGGGGGACTTTAAAAAATACTGATGTCTGGGCCCAACATCTGCAGCTGCCAGAGAAAGCTGAGACCCGCTGTCTGGGGGCTCTTTGTTTCCTATTTACCCCTAGTAAAGTGCCATTGTCAGTACATTTCTGGTATCTATTGGTCTTCTACCTATTATCTATTTCTTTGTTTCCTAGCTGGCTGAGCCCCTGGACATATTCAGCTTCTTTAGACTCAGGGAGCACTAGGGTGGGGAGGGAGGAGTCTGTGCTCCACAGAAGCTGGTCAGAAAGTGAGAAAGGTGACACTGGCAGAAGATCTGTACTCTTGGCCTTATTTCTTCCACTCACCTGACTTGAAATTCAACTGAAGAGCTACTGATAAGAACTTATTTGTGTCACCTTCTGGATCAAGTGTACAAGGTGTTGCTTATTTTAATAGAATGATGAATGGAATTTTCCCCCATCTTTGGTATTCTATGGGCTCTTAAGTATTCAGACTGGCATGCTTAGATGTTAGTTCATTTCTATTAGAAGCTAGACTTGTTCATAAAAATCCAGGTTTAAAGGAGAAATCCAATTACTCATCTCCAGGGAGTAAGCCCAGTCTAGGAATAAAGTATTGGATTTTTAGATTTTTATTAGTTGTCTATTTATTGTGAAGTATCATTATAGTTTATAGAGCCAAGGAAGAGGACATTTTCTGTATATAATCCTGACCTGAGGATATTTTAAGAAGGTATTATTATACTTTCCCCCAGGACAATGTTGTTGAAGATGTAATCCTAATCTTTAGGAGCACTGTTTATTCATTCATTAGATAAGTGTTTATTGAACACCTACTTTGCAACAGATACTGTACTAGGAACTGGGAATTCAGTGGCAACAAGCGGACACAGTCCCTTCACAGAGCTTGCAATATGGTAGAGACGATAATAGTAGGGGTTGTTAATGAAGGAGAAGTATATAACAAGAGCGCCTAACCCAGGTTTGAACCAGTGTGGTAGGTATTACATTCTTGTGTGGTATGTTCTCATTATAATTCCTTTCTTTATTTGCAGTGGGAAATGTCGGGTTCCAGCCTGGTGTGACCGAATTCTTTGGAGAGGAACAAATGTTAATCAGCTTCATTACCGGAGTCACATGGAACTAAAAACCAGTGACCACAAGCCTGTTAGCGCCCTCTTCCTTATTGGGGTAAAGGCTTGTTTGTTTATTCATTTGTTTGTGTGTTAAGTATCTGTATTCTTAGAGCATTTTTGAGACTCAGAACAGATCAGTATTTCAGTGAGCCATAAATGTTTCCATAACCAAACAGTCATTGGCAGCATTGAGAAGTTAGTACCCTTGACTCTCCTAAATGCGGTCTCTATCGCTCTTACACTGCAGGCCTTTTAGTAACACAAATGTTTCTCATGCTGCATAATGGCGAGGGAGTAACCTTAGCCTCTTAAAGTCCTTATACATAAAAAAGAGAGGCTAGGTTTTAAAGGATGAGTGGCTTTTATTCAGAAATAGTAAGAAGTTGAAGCATCAAGAGAGAGGTTCCGGGTGGAGCGGTGCTGATAGCAGGAGCAAAAGCACAGACTGGTCTGAAGACAACCAAACTTGTATAAATATACTGTACCTTAAGAAGCGTATTCTACAATGAAGTCTTCCCATCCAGGAACACAGGTTTCACATTTCTCTTTAACTCCATTGTATGCTGAGCTAGGTAAATGGCCAATTATTTAACTTTTTGTCTCTGTTGTGAGTAAAGCTTTTGTTTTCATATTGCATATTCTAGCTGTGTGTTATTAATATGCAGGTTATATCTTGGGATCGTGTTGATTTATTACGCTAGTACATTTATATGATTTCTTGTAGATTTTCCAGACCTGCAGTCATGCAATCTGTAAGAATCTGTATAGTGCAGTGCTTGATAGAATGGATTTTATAGCTAGAACTGCTTAGATTCAATTCCCAGCCCAACCACTTTCTGTGTAAACATGGAAAATTTGTGTAACATCTCTATGCCTCAGTTTTATCCTCTACAAAATGGGGTTAAAATAGTACCTACTTATGAGGATTAATGAGGTAAGACATGCCAAATAGCATAGGAGGATAATTACTTTCCTCTGAGTATATGTTGATTTGGGGGTGGTTTCTGAGATAGGTTATCACTAACATGTCTTATGTTACTCCTGCATTAAAGGGGAATGAATTTGAGGCATTTCTTTTATGTACAAAATTAGTTTTTGATCTTAAAACAGATTCTAAATTTTATTGAGGCAATCATGACTTCACTTTTGTGCATTTTGAAATTTTAAGATAATAATAAATGTTCCTCAAATAGTAGCTAGTGTGTGCCAGGGACTGTGTAAGGCAATTTACACACATCTCATTTACGCCTTCCAATAATGCTTTGAGTTAAATATTTCTCATTTAACAGGTGAGCAAATGGAGAACCAATGCATTTAAATAACTTCTTTAAGAGCATTCACCTAGAAGGATTGCTGAAATTCAAATCTATTAACTCTGTTTAACTCCCAAGCCTACTAGTATAGATGTTCTTTCCACTACCCCACAATGCTTCTATAGGTCTAAAGAACTTACTGATTAGATATGCCTTCAGATACTACTTTTAGCCCACCTAATTTTTAGTTTGTACTTGTGGGCTACCCTGTTTTATTATTTGAGTTCTCTTAATCCATTTTTTAAAGGATGTCTTTCCTGAAACACTATCTTTATGATCTAATCAGTTATGCTTGGCTTTTTTGTTTGTATTTCTTTTTAGAACCTTGGACTATTTGTAATACTCCATACATTTTACTCCATAGCTCCCAGCAGGATATTTAAAAATTTTCATGCTTCCTGTATATTTTTGTGTATCTTCAATTAAGGTCTATCTTTCTAGTTTTTACTACTTTTTAAATTACACAGGAATTCAAAAGTTCTTTCTCTTTAAAATTAAAAAATATTTAAGCAAAATTTACAGATAAGGCTGAAGATCTTCAATTCCTTTCTATCCCTTTCCCCCCCTTTGACCAAACCCCCACTCCCCAGCTAAGCCAACTACCCTTATGAATTTATATCTTTCTAGACCAGCACTGTTCAATAGGTTTTTCTGTGATGATGGAAATGTTCTAGATCTATCCTGTCCAGTACAGTAGCTACCAGCTGCTGGCAGCTGTTGATCACTTGAAGTGTGGCTAGTGTGACTTTGGGAACTGAGTTTTTAATTCTCTTCACTTTGAAATAACTTAAAGGTCCCTATGCGACTATTATATTGGACAATACAGTTCTAGACCTTTACGTATGCTTTTCTGTTTATCCACAGATGTTTGCTCAGCTTTGATGTGTGTTTTTTTTCCACATTTGCTTTACAACCTCTAACTGCCTTCATACTGAATTTGTCAAGTTTCTATTCTAAAAAGAAACTTGGATCTCAATAAGTTAAAATGCTGTGTTAATTATGTTCATTTTTGGCACTGATTTGTATGAAGTCTTAATAGTGAAAAGAACAGCTATGTCAGGAAGCTGAAAGTGCTGTGTCAGACAGGATTTTTGATCTTTTGGTCAGGATGACTCGTTTGTCTGTTATCGTGCTTTTAGTCTAATCTAGGACATTTTGGGTCAGCTGTTTTCTAAAATGCCCATAGGCTCCATTTACTAGCATACCTTTATCATTATGAATAATCTGAGTGTTGATATCATGATTCTTGGCATTGTGCATTGCAGCTAATAGAGTTAAACGCTTTAATCATGTTTTCTGCTATTTCACCACTTTATAATCAGAAACAATAATAGGTATGTTTTGACACTGTCATTTTGTACAGTTCAGGAAATCACTTACAAAATCATCACATTATCTCCACCACCAATTAACCATGGAAAAAGAAACTATTCTTTTTAAATATGTTATTATTATTGCCAAGCTTCTTAGCACAGAGGTTTCACTTTTCCAAGAAGTTAATCGATTAACGTTACTTTCATCTTAAAGTGTGTGATTCTGTAATGTTTAGTTTCATTTATGTTTGCTTTAGTGACTTTACAAAATGTTTTCATTGACATTAGAGAGAGTAGAAGGGAGAGAGAGAGAGAAACATTGATTGGTTGCCTCCTGCATGCACCCCGGACTGGGATCACACCTACAACCTGGGTATGTGCCCTGATCGGGAATCCAACCAGTGACCTTTCGGTGTGTGGGACGACGCTCAGACCAACTGAGCCACACTGGTCAGGGCTGCTTTAGTGATCTTTTAAAAATTGTTAGATTCTTAGAGATATTTGAGAGCTCATAAGACTAAAATAAGGGTCTCAGGCAAAAGTTTTGTATGGTGTGGGATAACAGAGTGTTGAGGATGTTGTTTGAACCACGGTTTATTTTAAATGATTGCTGTAATGACCTGTTGTAATTGTTAGGTAGTCTCAAAAGATGAACTAGGAGCATGTAAGACTGAAAAGAGGTGTGTTTTCTTTCAGGTGAAGGTTGTTGATGAACGGAGGTATCGGAAAGTATTTGAAGATAGTGTACGCATTATGGACAGAATGGAAAATGATTTCCTTCCTTCCTTAGAAATCAGCAGGAGGGAGGTGAGCAAAAAATACACAGCAGCTTCTTCTGCTGCCCATGGTGGTTAGCACAGGGAAAACCATGTGACTTAGAGAAGACAACAGAGCAAAAATGTTGAAGACAGTATCTGCTGAAGTCAGACTGCCTACATTCCAATCCCAGCACTGCCATTTAGTAGATTTATGACCACGGCTAGTATCGTACCCTTTTAGAACTACAGTTTCCTTTAGGGGATAAAGGGGTAGTTGTGAGGATTACACAAGTTAATACATGTGAAGCTCTTAAAACAGTGCCTGGTACAAAATAAACCCTCAGGTTTTAGCTACTCTTATTTAATATTTTAGAGTTGCTGACTAACTCATATCTCAGGAACCCTGACCCAAGGTTAGGTTATCCTGTTAGGATCCCAGGAACAATCAGAGTAGCCTAGAGAAGTAGCAAGGACTGCCTAACTCATCTGTTCTCAGCCTGTGGGTCGCGACACCTTTGGCGGTCGAACGACCCTTTCACAGGGGTCGCCTGAGACCATCCTGCATATCAGATATTTACATTACGATTCATAACAGTAGCAACATTACAGTTATGAAGTAGCAACGAAAATAATTTTATGGTTGGGTCACAACATGAGGAACTGTATTTAAAGGGCCAGAAGGTTGAGAACCACTGGCCTAACTCCTCTGCTGATGTGAGCATAGTAATATATGAGAGGGAATAATGTACATCTGGCTCAGTTGGTTAGTGTATACGACAGTTGCGCACCTGGTTAATAATTACCTCATTCTTTATTCATATTTTCTATGGAATAATCCAACTGACTTACTTCCCCTACTAGTGATGCATGTTTGTGTCTGTCCTTCCTCAGTTTGTGTTTACCAATGTGAAGTTTCGGCAACTACAAAAGGAGAAGTTCCGTATCACCAACAATGGACAGGTTCCCTGTCATTTTTCTTTCATCCGAAAGCTTAATGACAGCCAATACTGCAAGCCATGGCTTCGGGCTGAACCTAATCAGGGCTACTTGGAGCCAAGTGAGTTTTTCCTTTACCATTGTCTCTGCTTGTGATGTACCATCTCCTCATGACTCCCATATCCCCTCCCTTTGTTTAACTTCTTGTTCTCTAACCACATGTCTCTTACCTTCACCGTCAATGTATTGGGATACCTCTTTTTTGTGTCCACTCTCTGCTTTGTCACTTGATGATTTTTTTAGAGGATATTCCTTCTGTTAGTTCTCATCCCCATTTTGTTTTCCCATTGGAAGTTTATTTTACCATGTGTCATCTCTTACATTTCAGATGAGACAGTAGACATTTCCCTTGATGTGTATGTCAGCAAAGACTCTGTGACCATCCTGAACTCAGGGGAAGATAAAATTGAAGATATTCTTGTCCTTCACCTGAATGGAGGCAAAGATTACTTTTTGACCATCAGTGGAAATTACCTCCCCAGTTGTTTTGGTACATCCTTAGAGGCTTTGTGCCGAATGAAAAGACCAATTCGAGAAGTTCCTGTTACCAAACTCATAGACTTGGTAAGAAACATCCTAAGACATGAACCTCCTTTAGATATACTTTTCACAATACTTAAGTGATGTCCTCATTGTCTCTTTGCTTTCTTTTTTGTCGGGGGTGGGGTGGGACTGTGGGGGGGCTGTCATGTGATAAATAAGAATGAGACTATCACTCTAGCACTACTTTCATTAGATTAAGCCTAAAAGGAAAGAGGAAAGGGTAATCTGTAATTGGCTCTTGTCAGGAATATAATAGGTAATATTAAAAGCACTGAATTAGTTTAAAGGTTCCCTTCTCAAAGATATAATGCTTGTTTGTTACCCTCTTCATACTTCCAAGCCACTTTTGTATAAATTGGCATGTATATGAGGTACAGTAGGTGGGAGAAGCAGTATTATGCTCATTAAACATATGAGAAAACTGAGGCACAGAGACAGTAACTTTTCCAAGTGGAATAAGTTAAGACAAACCTATCACCCAGATTTTCTGACTCCCAGTCCACTGCTCATCACTATATCTTATCTAATCTAAGTCAAACTTGGCTGCTTATTGCAGCCTAGGCCTGTATGTGAACCTCAGAATGCCTGCCTCAGAAGCCCTGGGGTCGTTACGCAAGTGCAGGTACCTCCCCCCACCTCTGGCAACAGAACCAGATTCTCAGGGTGTGAGGCCCAGGAATCTGCACATATCAGCATTCCAGAAGATTATAATGTTCACAGAAGTTTGTTACATGTTTAATGTGACTCTCTTAAGAAAAGAAAGGAGGAGGCTTTCCCCTTCCCTGTCACTAAGTTGTAATATTAGTGTCCTTATGGAGGAAATGCTTATATTATGTTTAGGAACATACATTGATTTAGTAACAAGTTCATCCTATTAAGTTTTCTTCTAAATGAATGTATTGTTAGATTTGTGTGCAGACCTCTTTAGGCTATAAAAGTATATCCTTGATCTTTTGCCAAAGAAAAGTAGGTGACGTGACAGCCCTGCATTATCACTACCATTAGAATTCACTTGATCCTTTTGCCTGGCCAGAACATGATTGTATCATCTAGCTAGAGGGCTGGGCCAGCAGGCAGGCTGCTGGCTTGTCTGCCTGTGATCTGTTCTGTTGCCATGGGATTGTTTTAGCTATGACTCAGATGGCAGATTAAAGCCCTTGAGTCCAGTCCCAGCATTCTTTCTTGGAATTGTACGTGTTTCCCTAGAGCCCTTATGACTGAGGGTATTACCCCCATCCAAGAGAAAACCATTTTCTTCAGAAATTCATATCCTGACATTCTGTTATTTTTCAGACTTTTTTCTTCTACCAACATAGTTCTGTCTTTCAAATTTCACCTTTTAGAATATATTCTAAATGAAGTTGTTTTTCTTTTTCTCATACCCTCTTATCTCCATTCCAAACACTATTTCCAGCTTTCTTTGTTTCAACTTTTTATTATGAAAATGGAAAATGTGCAGAAAAATTGAAAGAACAGTACATCCCCAGCCAGGTGGCTCAGAAAGTTGGAGCTTCATCCCCTACACCAAAGGTTGTGGGTTTGACTCCCCATCAGGGCACATACTTAGGTTGTGGGTTCGATCCCTGGTCAGAGCATGTATGTGAGGCAACCAATAGACATTTCTCTTTCACATCAATGTTTCTTTCTCTCTGCCTCCTTCCTCTGTCTCTGAAATCAATAAAAACATATCCTCAGCTGAGGATTAAAAAAAAAGAAAAGAATGAAAACTCACATGCTTTACATACATACAGGAGTGGGGTGGGCAAAAGTAGATTTACAGATGTAATACAAATAAATCATACAATAATTTTTAAATACTAATACAAGAATAAACTCTGTTGTGTACTCACAACTGTAAACCTACTTTTGCCCACCTCAGTATAGAGGGGGTTTTTTTTTGTTTGTTTGTTTGGGGTTTTTTTTTGGCTTTTGCATTTGAAATTGAGTGGTGATATGTCACTTTCACCAGTGAATATTTCAGCCTGTGTCTCTTAAGGAATAGGACAACTTGTGTATAAGCACAGTAGTACCATTATTATGCCTAAGGAAACTAGGCAGTCCATATCTAGATTTCTCCAGTTGTTCCAAGAGGTTTTTTTTGTTTGTTTGTTTTTTTTGTAGCTTTCTTAAAGCCAAAATCCAATCTGGATTCATACAGTGCATTTGGTGAGATCTTCAGTCTCTTTTAGAGCAGATCAGTTCTCCCTTTTTTCTTTAATGGAATTAAATTTTTAATTTTTAAGAGTCCAGAACAGCTGTCCACCATTTCCAAAATTTGATTATTTCCTCTTGATAATTTTTTTAAACTTATCCTTTTTTTTAAAAAAAATGTTTTTATTGATTTCAGAGAGAGGAAGGGAGAGGGAGAGATAGAAACATCAATGATGAGAGAGAATCATTGATCGGCTGCCTCCTGCATGCCGCACACTGGGGATTAAGCCTGCAACCTGGGCATGTTCCCTGACTGGGAATCAAACCAGTGACCTCTTAGTTCATGGGTTGATGTTCAATCACTGAACCACACGGGCTGGACTAAACCTATCCCTTTATACTCCCTCCTCCCACCTATTTCCTGTAAACTGGAATCTAGCTTTACTTTTGGTCAGAGTTGGCAAAAGCGTTACAATACCCACAGTAATTGTCCCATATTAAAGTGACTGGAAGGAGTGCAACAAGCATACAATTTAAAATTTTTATTTAAAATATCAGGTAATTTAACCATGTTTGACCATGAATAGAAAGTAGCCAAAATCTGTAGTGGAGTTAATGGCTCTGTAGGAAATCCTTTCCTTCTTTTTGTGCACAAATGACTCAAGGTTTAAAAAAGTAGAACCCTCATCAATTTTTCATTACAAAATTGCTGAGTTCTTATTAAATTGTATGTGTGTGGTCGTCATTTATTCTTTTAAAGCTTTTATTTTGTAGAACTTAGGGTTTTGATTCTTTTCACATCCTGTTGCATTTTTGCATTATTAAATTCCTGTATTGCATTGATGGGAAAATTATCCATATTAGTGTGGGCAGTAAACAAGAAATCTAACATTATCTGTACGCCAATCGTAATACCTTTCCCACTCTTGATTTTGCCCTTCTGAAATGCTTTGTTCCAAGTCCCAAGATGATATTTCATATCCCATGAGACGATACTATTAATAATGGTACCTGTTGTCATCTTTGTATTATTTACTCTAAATTTTGAGTGAAACCAGACATGAGTTCAGTGCCTGTGTTGACTCTCCATGTACCATTTTAGAAAGATTCTTGTGCCAAACCCTCTTGGCATGAGTACTTTCATTCTTCATTCCAATCTCAATGATAATGACTTTGCCCCTCTAGAATAGTTGGGATTAGCCCAAGTGGCAAGAAGAACCTGTTTGCACTTATTTTTATTCTTTTTCAGAATTAAGAGAAGTCTTTTATGGTTTATTAAGATTAGCGTATAATCATCAGTATTTACTTATTGCACATTGGATACAAAATACTATGGAGTTTATGTGGGTTCTGTAATTTTGTGGTAATGAAAGTTTTCTTGTATGTAGAATATGGCTAAATTCTAAATCAAGGTTAATAGGGAGTTCAGTTAGAGATAATGTAAACATTAACCACCTTCACTGGCTAATGTCCAGTGTGTTTGGGAAGTCAATATTTTGGAATGTCATTTAGAATGAGAGTTATGGAGCTTGTAATTTGTGTTAATAATAGATCCCTTTCCTGTGCTGTTTATTCAAGCCCTTATATGCTATAAAAGCTTATTGATTAACCAGCTAATCTTTGTAAAAATCAATCTCAAAATCAGCCTATTTTGGCTTTAATGAATATTTCGTGCATGTAGCATTAACATAACTAGAAATTAGTTCAGCACCTAAGAATAAAGTGGACTAGGAAAGTGTTTTGGGGTGTGTTCATGGAACAGTTTTGAGTCAAGTCCAAGTATTTAAGAAACGTGTACTAATATATTAGGTAAGCAGTCTCTTCCAGGCATAAGGACATAGTGCATTAAGGTTGAAAGATGAAAGTGAAAAGTTGTAAGATTTCCTTGGGAAGAGTGGATATTAAAGATAAGAGTGTGTGGAGCTGGTTAGGTAGGGTGAGGGTAGGGGATAGAGAGTCTCAAAGTCAACAGATGAGTTTATTGGAGAGCCAGAGAGCATGTAGAGCCAGCAGGAGGCTTTGATGAGTGGTGTGAACTTGCAAATGGACACATTAGGAGGAACATTCCAGTGTTGCTTGTAGACTAGACTACAAGTTTGTAATTTGTGTTAACAATAGAAATCTTGTAATTTTTCACTTTTACCTTTAACCTTAATTCACTATGTCCCTTATGTAGAAGAGACCAAATTTGAATGCACCAGATCTGGTTTAAGATTTGACTTATAAATACAGAGATGGGACAAGTTGAGTGATGGGTAGACAAACTGTACTTGCTTGGGGTCATGTCTATTAGGAAAATAATATCAAAAATTTAAAATAACAAGAATAACAACTTGGTGGTTAATTCATCTTCAGTGATTTCTCTACTAGGTGTTTCCTTTGTATTAATCAAAAATTTAAAATAACAAGAATAACAACTTGGTGGTTAATTCATCTTCAGTGATTTCTCTACTAGGTGTTTCCTTTGTATTAATCAAAAATTTAAAATAACAAGAATAACAACTTGGTGGTTAATTCATCTTCAGTGATTTCTCTACTAGGTGTTTCCTTTGTATTACTAATCTAACCACCCATTTCTTATCCTGTGAGGTGTATGGTTTGTGTTTTTTCTCTTTAATTTCACATGAAGCAATCCTTTCTAGAAATTCAGTATCATTCAGTTTTCTGCTTTCAATTTCTAAATTTGAATCTGCCTCTAAATGACTCTTTTAAGTTATTTTAGCTGCATTTACTACTGGGAAAATTCCTCTCAGAGTGAATGCTGGGGTAAAGAATGATTTGCTATACATTTGTAGTGTGCTAATATTGCCCCACTGAGGAAATCCTGAATGAGGTTCCCTTTTTTAATGTGGTCAATGGTGTAGCCTTTTGCAGAAAGTTGGCAGGTCAGTTGAACTAAGTAATTAGCAGTAACCATAGGACTACCTTACGAGTATGCTGTTTGTTAGTGGGAGCTAAGTGGTGCTTCTATTTTCAGACTTGAGCCTAGTGTTGAAATAACTGTAATTTACATCCACTTTATGCCTGTAGCCAGGGAAGTAAACTCACAATGTAAATCTACTGCCTTTTGATTGTTCTTTCAGAGATTGCTCTTGTGTATACATTCTCTTTTAAGTCGGCTGCCTCCCATTCCCACTGCATCCCAAGGAATGTGGGGAAAGGGAGGGGCCAGGGGAAAAGAAGACCTCAGTAATAACACCAAAAACTTGATGGAAATAGGTTTGGTTTTCCTTAGCCCCCCACCCCCACATACACACATACACACACACACACACACACCTTACCTTCAAATCGGAAAATATATATAATTTTCCGATTTGAAGGTAAGGCATTTACTCTCTCCTTCTTGACACACCTTGATAGCTTTTTGACATACCCTTTGCCTCTATATCTTATCCTTTCATTTCTTCCTCTTCAGGGCTGTCAGCTTGGTCTTTCTGTAATACAACTTTGGGGCCTGTCATCTCCTTGCTTAAAGGTAGTCAGTGGCTCTCCCATGCCTGCTAAATGCAATCCAAATAGCTTTACCTGTCGCTCAAGGTCCCCCCAAAGTCTGACTTCAACACACTTTTTCAGATTTATTTCCCACTATTTTTGTCCACATCTTCCCATGCTCTCCACAAACCTGATGACTAAATTTTCCCTAATCTCACCTCATTATTTACCTTCTCTACACTATTGTTGACTTCTGCCCCTTACACTTACAATGTCCTCACTCCATTGCTACCCTTTAAATCTCTGTGAATCTTTTAAGGGCTAGTTAGGTCCCATGTCTGTTGTGAAATGTCCCCCAACAGTCCCAGGTGAAAGCTGTTTCTCCTTCCTTTGAATGCTGTTTTATTTGTTTGTTGGTTTTAACCATTTACTGAGAACTCATATTTGTAAATTATAACAATACTAGAGGCCCGGTGCACAAAAATTTGTGCACTCGGGTGGGAGGGGGGGGAGGGAGG